AAGGTATTGATATATGAAATTATAAATGAAAAAAAAGAAACTACAGTACATAATCCTATATATCTCAATTAATTTACATCTCATTTTTTCAGTCTGAGTACTAAAGGTTTCCAAAAGAAAGAAAAACAAAAATTTGATTTTGCATTGCTAGAATGCAATTAAGCAACTAATCTTGCATTACCCATTGATTTTGGGGATAATTAATCAAAAAAGTGTTAAGAGAGTGTACAACAAATACATGGAAAATTGCCACATTATTTTTAGCTATACAAATTCTTCTCCCTTTGTATAGTTTTATACATGTCTAGATTTAGGGGAAAACCTCAACTCTTTCCACAAAAAACCTCCAATATGAATAATATTGGGTAGAAAATAATGTCACAATAATTATCTTACCTTCTCATGTTTAAGTTGTTACAAGACGTATCTTATTTATACTGTATATAAATGCAGTTTAGCAAATACTACACTTTAAGATCATTAATATTCTCTCAAAAATTGAAAATTGCTCTGTAAAATAAAACAAGTAACAAAAACAAATACTATCATCACATTTACTATTCAAAAATATTATGCCAGAATAAATTTGCAAAAATATTACGTTTGTATTGATTTTGTAGAAAGTTATCCATGCCCTGGACTATAAGAGTTAAAATAATATCTCAACACTTCATTCTGCAATGCGTTTTCCAATTCCCACAAATGAAGATAGACTCAGCAAAGCTTAAATTGTGTTTAGCTTACTTATGTCTATGAATTCTCTTACAAAAAAGAATAATCCGTGCCAATGGAATCACAAGCTGAAATGGAGAATAGGGAACAAGAAAAAGTTGGTTTCACTAGATGATGGATGCCATCATTTACAAAGAAAAAAAAGTCTCAAATGTAAATGTCATCCCATGTCAAAAATTTAAAAGAACAAAGAACCTCTTCCTACCCTTAATCATACATTTTTAAAGGGTTTTAGGAAGCTGCCATCATCCAGTGTTTCTGGAATGCAGCAACTTAGGCGGATGACTTGTGGCAGGCACCTGCCAATTTTTCTTCACCATAACTCAACATTTGACCGACTATTACATAAATCTCTATCAATTTTTTTTTAAAAAACTACTCGTGTAGAAAAATCTGGAAGAAAATGACAACTTGAGATGAATGCAGACATGCTTTTATGGAACTAAATTATAGAATTACCCAGTGTTTTCCCTTTTCATTCTTCGGAGAAACCTAGAATTAAGAATATAATTATAACTACAAAGCAGGCTAAGGATTTCAACTAATATGCTCTGAGTAATCTTGAGCTATGGGTTTGGAAGCCTTTTGATGATAGAGATGCTCCATCTTTTGACTCCAGACAATGTGACACTTCCCCATGCAGAAGTGGTTTATTACTTGGCTAATCCTCTGGGCTCACAGGACCAACTTGAAGAGCAGGTGGCAACTGTGGCTTGGGAAAAATCTTCATCTTGTGCTCCAGTTAGAGCCTTCCCTACATGAGGAGGTCTGCTTATGGCCACAAATGATTTAATCAGCTCTTGCTAGGATGAGTACCACAAAGCTCTTAAAAGAACAGTATGTCATCTAAAATGTAATGGCTCATCAAGCGATGGGAACTTCTACATCATTTTAGGGAACATAGGGACAAAGCTCTCTCAACCACTTTCTTCCTTTGGTGGGGGGGGAATACTGTTCTCCCTAATATTAGGTTTGTTTCCATTCTAAGCCAAAATATGAAATCTGGATTTTTGATTAGTGCATTCTGTGAGCTCAACCACTCTTGTTTGTGAGCCATGGCTGTAGATTACCATTATATACAGGTAGTCTTCGGATACAACAGCACCTTGGACCCAGATTGTGGTCACTAAACATTGTAGTTGTAAAACAAGGTATTGCATGGCTTAGCAAAGGCAATCCAGGCAGTCCCAGTTGTCGTTCTAACTCCAGGACACATTAAGTGGGAAGGAAAGGGAATCCCAGGTAAGGAGCCCCCCCCCCTTCCCCGTTGCAACAGGGAAGTGGGGGAGGCCCAGCAAAGGCTATGTGCAAATTGGGGTGGGGGGTGATGCAGTTTTAGCACAAGTTCAGGAAGACTGGGGGAAGAGAGTATGGGCTGCATGTGTTCATGTGTGGAAATGCAAGGGAGCCTGGAAAAGAGGGCATGGTATGCATGTGTGCGAGTGCAGGGAGGTCAAACGGGAAGGTGCTGGTGGATGCATATACTTATGTAAGTACAGGAAGGCCCAAGAAAGGAGGATGCTGGTGGGCAGTGGTGGGTTTCTGCCGGTTTGGACCAGTTTGGCTGAACAAGTGGTGGTGTGGTGCCTGGGTCACTGGAACCAGCAGTGACCCAGGCCTGCCACACCCCCGAATCAGTTCACCAGTGCGGGCATGAGCGAAGCGAGCAGGGCACGCGCAAAACACCCTCTCAGCAAACCGGTAATAAACCCGTTAGGAACTGCTGGTGGGTGTATCTG